ATTCACCCCTCCCCACCCACCCCTGAAGTCCCCCCCCCTTGATACAGCTGTCACGCTCTACCTGTGGGCTTCCCCGAATTTCTTTATTTGCTGATTTTTTTAATACTGCTCATGTCGTGGGATGCTGCTACTCTGGGCAGTTTGCAACCATAAGCATAAAACATGAAGCAGCCAAACACCCTAACCCACCCCCTCCGAAAGCAATCTCGAAACCATCCCAGGTCAAAGCTCTTGGTTGAGGGAACCAGGATGGGGGAGCAGAGCGATCCCTCCTGATCCAGTCCAGCAAGGCTGACCTTGTATCTTAAGCTTAAAAAAAATCTTCCCAATCACTGTAACTTGAAATCCTACTTGGAAGGGCTGGGGAATTGCATCTAAAGCATGTTCCATGAAGTCAGAACGGTTTCTTTTTTCTATTCAACTACAGCTCCTAGAACAGGGGATTCTGGGAGTTGCAGTCCAAGAAAGGATCTTTTTTTCAGATGCCGTACACAGGTGACCTAGCTTGGGTTCTAAACAGAGATGGACACAAACTGGAAAAAGGACGAATTGACTACAGTGGACCCTTGACTTACAGACGGCTTGACTTACAGACTTTTTGAGTTACAGACTTCTCTGGCTGCAAAATTTAGGTTTGACTTGCAGACTGAGATTTGACTTACAGACCAGAAAAAAACCAAAGTGGAACAAAAACGGCCTGTTACGGGATTAATCGGTTTTCAATGCACTGTAGGTCAATGGAGACTTGACTTACAGACTTTTTGACTTGAGAACCGCCTTCCGATACGGATTAAGTTCTCAAGTCAAGACCCCACTGTACGTATGAACCATGCGCCTTTCCTGAACCCCGGAAAAATGAACTGTTTTGTGGTTTGTTTTTGTGCTGGGGGGGGAGAACCCAACTCCCCCCATTCTCTCTGCCACCTGCCGACCCCCTTTCCACGCCCTCCCCATCACCTCCCTGCCTGGTCCTGCCTCCTCCTCTTCCTCTTTGTCCTTCCCTTGACCCATCTATGGGTCAAGAGAAGCTGGACCACAGTCTCTAAAGATGGCGCCAGAGGAGGTGGTGGCAAAAAACAGGTAAAAACAGGTGGGGACATCCGTTTTGCCAAAGCCAAACAAAGCGCTGTGCAGAAATAAGTTTGGCGTTTCGTTTTGGCGAAACAGGATTCCCGAACCGAACCACGAACCAGCCCCGTTCGTGGGTCCCCCACCCCGACCCCACTACCCATCTGTAGTTTGGCTTGTGCCTATCTATAATTTTGAATCAACACCCACTGAACATTTAAAGTTCACTTCTGTCCTGCCTCAACAAGGCTGCCTGGACTAAACCACCCCATGATGCTTCTTGTTTGCAGAAGAAGAATCCTTTAATTTATTAAGATGGTTTTAAAAAGGAAAGGGTCTCTCACCCCCTTCCTCCATCTTTTCCTTGGCTGCGGGGCCTTTCTGTCTGTAGCTGGTGTAAGGTCCCCAAGGGAGCGCAGGGCAAAACCCATGTTCAGATGGGGGATGACGTCACCCATAGATGGGGCAAGTCATTTCCACCTGACATCTCCCACGTCAGTTTCAGATCCACCTCCTCCAAGGGGTAAGCACAGCCGCCTGTGGTTCTGCAGCCACGGGGGGCCCCGTGGCCCTGCTTGCATGGCCTCCTGGCATCATCCCACTCTGTCTGACCTCTCCAGCGTTGAACAGCCTGTGGTTTGCCTTCCATTTGCAAGCAGAGACCCACAAAGGTTTAGCCATCACGCCCTGAAACAAAAGCAGGGACCTTGAATTTTCCCTCCTCTGTTTGTGCCTTTTCCTGCTTTTGCTGTTGTCCTGGTCCATTTTTTTTAATTCTGCTTTTTCATTTATCGGGTGAGCTGCTCTGTGTGGGGGGGGGGGCTTGAGTGCCCCTAATCAACAGCCCTTGTAGGCTCCTTGGCCAAACAGACACCTGACATCTCCCACGTCAGTTTCAGATTCACCTCCTCCAAGGGGTAAGCATGGCCGCCTGTGGTTCTGCAGCCACGGGGGCCCCCGTGGCCCTGCTTGCGTGGCCTCCTGGCATCATCCCACTCTTTCTGACCTCTCCGGCATTGAACAGCCTGTGGTTTGCCTTCCTGAGCATTTGCGAGCGGAGACTCACAAAGGTGTAGCCATCACGCCCTGAAACAAAAGCAGGGACCTTGAATTTTCACTCCTCTGTTTGTGCCTTTTCCTGCTTTTGCTGTTGTCCTGGTCCATTTTTTTTAATTCTGCTTTTTCATTTATCGGGTG